CATATCAACTCATGGGTGCTCCATAAAAGGCTACTTTGCATGTCAGAAATCTTAAACTGCTGAAACACACTTCACCTTTACATAACCTACTGGCTACAGCAACAAAAATCTAGTGAAAAGCCCACTGTCTGAGGTAGGGAAAAATGGAAGGCGATGGAGGATCTGGAGGTGAAATGCTGGCAATGTGGTTATGGGGGTCCCCCGAAACAACACACCATCCTATTCACACTGTGAACAAATTCTCTGGGAATACGATCTTCCCAGGAAGATCAGCAACTGGGGGTGGGATGGCGGGGGGTGGGGGAGAACTCTGAGTGAAAAATCTGCACGGTAGCAATCACAGAATCAGGGGATCAGAAAAACGGACGGAAGATTGCAGGCTCCCAAAGAAGGAAATCCAGTGAAATGAGGCTGCGTTAGATCTTACCTAGCAAGAGGCCTCTTTGGTCAGGCTCCTGAGGGACCACTCGGTAGAGCAGATTCCGCTTGGGATCTTCCAGATCCCTGTCTGGCTCAAGGAAAGAAGTAGCCACTCTGGCTAATGGTACCAGCATCTGAAACATGGAGCAGAGAATTGAGGGACAGAGATCAGAAATGGAATGTGCAAAGGGCCAAGGGATTTCTTCCCTTCCTTGGAAGATTTCTAGTATGTCTAGGCAACCTGTGGGGATTTTAAAGGTAACCTTTGTTCATATTCTTTCCCCCCCCCCCAATACCTAGATGAATCCCCCTCACCTGCTGGTCCTGATCCTTCTCCTCTGCCTGGCTGAGGAGGAAGCCTTCTGCCAGGGCCACCGCCTGGGAACTGGTCTCCGGCCCGCACTCCCTCACCCAGCTCTCCATCTCCGGGGGCAGGACGGCCAGGAACTGCTCCAGGATCACCAGGTCCAGCATCTCCCTCTTGCTGCGCCTCTCCGGCTTCAGCCACTGGCGGCAAAGACGGTGGAGTCGGCTGCAGACCTCTCGGGGCCCCTCCGCCTCCTGGTAGCTCAACTGCCTGAACAGCTGGCACTGCACATCTGGAGGGAGGGCGCTGTCCCCCAGGCTCTTCTGCCCGGTTCCTTCCCACAGCTCCCTCCTGCTCCCAGCCTCCAAGATATCAGGGCCTCTCCTGGCTTTTGCATTTGCTGGGTCCGGCTCTCCACTCATTCCCACCCACCCCATTCCTTTCCAAAGAGTCTCCACCTGGAGAGCAATGAATCACCTTCCTCCTCTGCCTGATTCTTCTATAAACTCAAGTACCGGAGCTGTGACATCCTGCAGAGCCGACTCTGCTTATCTTCTGCCTGACCTATTCTTCCACTGTCAAAAGCACGGAGGTATTTGACAAGGGAAACATTATTTTGTCACTTCTCTTTTTTGTTAAAAATTCCAAAAGCAAATCCTGCTCTGCCGCTGCTCCCGTAACAGCCTAACCGCCCCTTCCGTCAAAGACTCTTAACAACACAGCCGGTCATGCCAATCGCCTGGGAAACTTGCAGGCAACTTTTCCCACGGAAGAAATCCAAGCAGGAAGCGTCTCCGAAAAGTCACATGGCCTTCCCTGTTGAGGTCTCTCTAGGAATTGAGGCGCTTTCTTTTTAACCCGTTGAGCGAACCGCCCCAGAAAGCCGCCAGGACGCGCTCCCCGCCTCGCCTGAAGAGATGTGCAAATTGAAGCATCTGCCCTGCAAGCGTCGCTCCAGTGTCACGACTCGGGAGTAACTGTAGACTGTGGGAAAGGGGAAAGGGGCTTCTGCCTGCCCACTTGGCCTTCTCTGCTTGTTTGAGAGTTGCCAACCTCCTCCAGGTGGAGACGGGAGATCTCCTGGCATGAGAACTGATCCCCAGACTAGAGATCAGTTTCCCTGGAGAAAGCAGCTCTTGTGGAAGGTAGACTCTATGGCAGGAGTGTCGAACTCGAACTCATTTGTCAGGAGGGCCAGATCTGGCATAAATGTCACTTTGTTGGGCCAGGCCGTGCATGCCATAAAATGTAACACAAAGTACTAGAGAGTACTTTGTGTTACACGCATGGCCTGGCCCAACAAAGTGACATTTATTCCAGATCCAGCCCTCGTAACAAATGACTTCGACACCCCTGCTCTATGGCATTATACCCTACTGAGGTCCCTCCCCAAACCCCACCCCCTGATCTCCAGGAATTTCCCACCCCAGAGTTGGCAACCATGCCACTGTGTGACACAGAGTGTTGGACTGGATGGGCCTTTGGCCTGATCCAACATTGGCGTCTCTTATGTTCTTATGTTTCTTGCCTCTAAGGCACGATCCTGAGCTTTATACATACCATATTCTATTCCACAAAATTGCCTTGAGGATGTGGAGAAGTGGGGGGGGGGGGCGTGCCATGGCTCAATGGTAGAGCATCTGTTTGGCATGCAGAAAGTCCCAGGTTCAATCCCCGGCATCTCCAATTAAAAAGATCTAGCAGGATGGGGTCTCAAAGAGTCAGACTCGACTGTGCGACTGAACAACAACAAAGCAGTAGGTGATGGGAAAGACCTCTGCCTGAGACCCTGGATAGCCACTGCTGGTCTGAGTGGACAATACTGACTTTGATGAACCATGCGTCTGATTCAGTATAGGGCAGCTTCAACTGTTTCTTGTGTGTTGTTCTGGCCAGGCTCAATGGTCTCAGCCACTTACAGCATTTCCCAGGCATTGGCTGTGCTGCTCCCTCCCCAAGGGGAGACTTTTTGTTCTGAGTTGTGTGGCTTGTTTTGGGGTGGGGAGAGGAGGTGTTCCTGCCCTCCCAAATATGCATGGGAAGGAGTCAGCCCTCACTGTCTATGGATCCAGTTCTTCCCTGCCCACTTCTTCTTGGCCTGTCATTCTAAGGGTATGGTGGAAAGGCTGATGTAGCAACCCTGGGGAAGCTAAGCACATCTATGTCCGGTCAGAACCTGGCTACGAGGCCCACCTGAGAATGCTCCATAGCTGCCTGAACCTACAGTGACACACAGGCTGGGCTAGATGACTTCCAAGGTTCCTTGCAGCTCTCTTTCCAGCCCTACCACTGACTAAAGAATTTCCTGCTTAGGATCTTGGTCACTAATACATGAAGTGGAATCAAACCCAGTTCTGCTGAAATGCAAGCAAGGTTACGGCCGAGTGTGTGAAGCGTGTTTATAGTCTGACATTAACGTAGAGCTGTGTCAGAACAGCTCCCCCTGTACGGTAGCCAAACTTGAATACTGACCAGTTCAGCTCATTTTCTGTTCACCAGCTGAGAACATGTAGCCAATTCACTGCCACTTCACTGTTTGCAAACAGTTCAACCCTCTTGGTCAGCGGACTTTACAGTGCAGTGCCATTGGCAGTATAATGGGGGTGTCATCATTTACTCAGCATATATCAGAGAGACTGACGGCAGTCCTGTGTTCTCCCCCTCGTTCAGACAAATGGATCCGTGGCTCAGTGGCAGAGCATTGGCTTGGCACACAGAGAGTACCAGGTTCAATCTTCGACATCTCCAGTTTAAGAAAAGACCTCAAGCTAGAGATTTGGACAGAGAACAGACAAGGTATTGCACTCACAGGGGACTGCAGCTGCCAAAGAGACATGTTGTTATTGAAAGTGTGAAGTTCTGTGTAGGGTTGCCACACCTCTGGATCAGCCTGGAGTCTACTGGAATTGATATCACTATCCAGACTCATATTGAAATCAATCCAGGAGGACACTGTGGAATTCTGCCCTTAATCACATCAGCTGCAGCACAGCTGGATTGCCCAGTTGTAAATGTGAGTGGACCTGGCAGTTATGATGGCCTTGTCATATTGTGCAAAGCCAGTGATCTGCCACTGAGCCACCGTCCCTCTGCTGGTACAGGAGAGCACTATCCTGCTTTCCCCTGGAATAAACAGGGTGTGGGTAATTTCTGAAAACCCTGCAAGTCTATTTGACTGGGGGCGAGAGGGAAACCGGTGTGTGCACACTGTGGGAAGGAACAGGAAAACCTCTCTCAAACCACTTCTCATAACTGTTTTAAAGTTAGTCTCTCTTCTGCTCACTCCAGATTAACTTCTCCAGAGTAACGGGTCACCCTTGGCCTCCTGCTGCCTTTAAGAGAGATGTTTCTTTTAACCCAAGAGTTTAACCAAGGGTCTCCATTTAAGGCATTATCTTGGTCTGAGGACGCTTTACGGATATCCTTTAGACCAGAAGGTTGGTAGTTCAGCAGTTCGAGGCCCGAGTGCCACAAGATGGAGTGAGCGCCCATCTCTGGCCCCAGCTCCTGCCAACCTAGCAGTTCGAAAGTAAGAAATTGCAAGTAGATAAATAGGTACCACTTCGGTGGGAAGGTAACAGTGTTCCTTGTACCTTGGGAGTTTAGTCATGACAGCCACATGACCATGGGAAAAGTCTTTGGACAGCGCTGGCTCTTCGGCTTGGAAACGGAGATGAGCACTGCCCCCTAGAGATGGATCCGACTGGCTTTCGAGCAAGGGAAACGTTTACCTTTACTCAAGGTTCACTTTAGGCAGACTTTGTCTCCTGGCTTGTTTATAATTGCCAGTTTAGTTCGGTTTTATTCTTTAGTGGTGAGCTGCTTTGAGCAGGCCTCCAGAGAGGCGGCATATCAATTCTCTAAATGAAGCAGTAAGTGACTTTTTAACCAATGGAGAAATCAGAGCATGACTACAGGTGGCTAAAAGTGACCTGGAGATTCTCACCAATTGAAGGAAAAGGTAGACAAGTGAAGATCCAGGGAGAATCACGGAGGGGTATGGGTGGGAGGGGAAAGGGGAAATAGTGGAAGAGGGCGAACAAAACTGAAATAATAGCCAAGCTGATCTTTGCAGTACGTATTTGTGGTGGTAACTGAAAACAATTTTATATGCTATACGCTTTATTTGAAAGCATGAAAGATCATACGGTCTATTCAATAGGATTTACAGTAGGATCCCTATTGTGTTTCCTGATAGCACAATACAAAACAAAGAAAGCAGTCCTATATAGGTCTACCCAAAAACTTACTCAAGTTTATTCAACAGGGCTGACTTCTAGGAAAGAAAAACAAAACAGCATTTACAGATATCAGAGTCCCAGCTGAATAATACACATGTGCCACCCTCTCTCTCTTTCTCGCTAGGCCTTCTTGTACCTTTAACAAACACACACATATTCCCCCACCCAGGCTCCTATCTAAGGGACTCGACTTGTTTTAGCTGTTTTATCTTCTAATTGCTTATTGGGTTTTACTGTTTGAATTGTGAGGTTTCCTGTGCAGCTTTCGGGAAAAGAGGCATATCAGCTCTCTAAACAAAGTAATGATTTCCTACTGAGGGGGTATATCGGATTATGCCCACAGGTGTCAAGCAAATACAAGGAGATTCTGAACATTGGAAGAAAAAGGGAGATGAATGAAGCTCCCAGAAGGAATACAGGGCTGAGGTGAGGGGAGAGCAGGCTGGAATTTGGAAAAGAATGCACTCAAAACTCAAATAATGGCAAGCTGACCATGGAAGTATATACTTGCGGTGGCAACTCCAAAGAAAGTTACAGGTGGAAGGGTTTATTTGAAACTAGAAGTATGCCCCCTCACAATATTTAATGCGATTCTGGGGAGAGTGATAAGCAGCTCTGCCTGGGGTTGCCATCCTCCTGGTGGAGCCTGGAGAGCTTCTGGAATACTCTTTCTCCATGCTACAGGGATCAGCTCCCCTGGAGAAAACAGCCTCTACATTTGGTGGACTGCATGGCATGAAACACCACGGAGGTCTGTCCCCTCCCTAGGCTCCACCCCAGGCATTTATATCGTTTCTATTGTGTGTTTCCTTTGGTATTTCACAAGATGTTCCTTCTGAACAAAGGTTTTCCCCACACTCCAAACATTTATATAATTTCTCCCCAGTGTGCATATGTTGATCAGTAGCAAGGGTGCAGCTCTAAACAAAGCTCTTTCAACATTCCAGGCATTTATTTGTCTTTCCTGTGTCGCTTTGTTGGTGGCCTGTAAGGCCTCCCTTCCAAGAAAAGCTCTTTCCACACTCCAAATATTTATATGGTTTCTCTCCTGTATGGATTCGTTGATGAGCAATAAGCACGTCGCTCCTAGCAAAGCTCTTTCCACATTCCAAGCATTTATATGGTTTCTCACCAGTGTGCATATACCAATGGGCAGTAAGATGGGCACTCCGACCAAAGCTCCTTCCACACTCAAAGCATTTATATAGTTTCTTGCCTGTGTGGATTTGTCGATGGGTAGTAAGGTTGTCACTCCGAGCAAAACTCTTTCCACACTCCAAACATTTATATGGTTTCTCCCCTGAGTGGATTCGTTGATGGACAGTAAGGTTGTCACTTCGATGAAAGCTCTTTCCACAGTCAAAGCATTGATATGGTTTCTCACCAGTGTGGATTTGTTGATGGCCAATAAGGGTTCGCTTCCAAGCAAAACTCTTCCCACAATCGAAGCATTTATAAAGTTTGTCCCCAGTGTGTACTCGTCGATGGGCTGTAAGGTGTGAATTCTGAGCAAAGCTCTTTCCACAGTCAGAGCATTTATATGGTTTCTCCCCAGTGTGGATTCGTTGATGTATAGAAAGATCTTTACTCTGAGTAAAACTCTTTCCACACTCCAAGCATGTATATGGTTTCTCCCCTGTGTGGATTCGTTGATGGGCACTAAGTTTGTCACTCCGAACAAAGCTTTTTCCACACTCCAAGCATTTATATGGTTTTTCCCATGTGTGGCTTAGTCGATGAGTAATAAGTGTGTCACTTCGAGCAAAGCTCTTTCCACACTCCAGACATTTATATGGTTTCTCCCTTGTGTGGGTTCGCCGATGGGCAGTGAGATGGGCACTCCGAACAAAGCTCATTCCACACTCCAAGCATTTAAATGGTTTCTCCCCTGTGTGGATTCGTTCATGGGCAGTAAGGGCTCCCTTCGAAGCAAAGCTCTTTCCACACTCCAAGCATTTATATGGTTTCTCTCCAGTGTGGATTTGTTGATGGGCAGTAAGATTGTCACTCCGAGCAAAAATCTTTCCACACTCCAAGCATTTATATGGTTTCTCACCTGAATGGATTCGTTGATGGACAGCAAGGTTGTCACTCCGACGAAAGCTCTTTCCACACTCTAAACATTTATATGGTTTCTCACCAGTGTGTATACGTCGATGGGTAGTAAAGTTGACAATCCAAGCAAAGCTCTTTCCACAGTCCAAGCATTTATATGGTTTCTCCCCTGTGTGGATTCGTTGATGGCCAGTAAGGTCTCCCTTCAAAGCAAAGCTCTTTCCACAGTCCAGGCATTTATATGGTTTCTCCCCAGTGTGTATACGTCGATGGGTAGTAAAGTTGACACTCCGAGCAAAGCTCTTTCCACAGTCCAAACATTTATATGGTTTCTCCCCTGTGTGGATTCGTTGATGGCCAGTAAGGTCTCCCTTCAAAGCAAAGCTCTTTCCACACTCCAAGCATTTATATGGTTTCTCCCTTGTGTGGAGTCGTCGATGAGCAGTAAGGGCGCCACTTTGACCAAAAGTGTTTCCACAGTCCAAGCATTTGTATGGTTTCCCCCCTGTGTTGATTCCCCAGTTTGTATCAAATACCTGGGATTCCCCACCCTGAGAAGAAGATGATTCATCTCCCCTCTTCCGTTTTGTTTTAGTGTTTCTTCTCTTCTGTTTTTCCTCCACCAAGAACTGTTGTGGTTCTCCATTGGACTTATTCTGAGGACCATCAACCTCTGCAATAAAGAGAACAAAGCATGAGTCCAGTGGCACCTTTAAGACCTACAAAGTTTTAGTCAAAATGTACGAGCTTTCGTGTGCACGCACACTTCCTCACATACAATGAAATGGAATTTACCATTCCATACATATAGGCAGAGGGTGGGCAGTAAATTAGCATACAACATAATGAAGTTATTTATCAGATTCAGGAATAACAAGCTTAATTTATACGGTTACCATTTAACATCATTAAGATGTTTTAACAAATGCAAACAATAAACAAGAATAACAAGCTAAGTCTACATGGTCACCATTTGTTTGGATTCAATTCCAGGGGGGAAACACAGAGAAGCAAATAAATATCTTAAAATTGGAGAGTGATGTATCCTTCTTAATTGTGAAGGGCTAAGAGTAATTAACGGAGACTCTATTGTTATGCTCCATTCGTCTCCTCTCAAGCATGGTGGTAACTAACAGCATCCTTTTCTTTGAGGTGGGGTGATTGGTCGTGCAATTGTTACGTGTCCTCTGTGACCAGACGAGATAAATGCATTTCAATCTACCATTCTAAATGACATACATTCTAATACTGGTTGTGCAGTTGTTATGTATCCTCTCTCACCAGCCCAGAGAAATGCGTTTCAGTCTACCATTCTAAATGACATACATTCCAATATTCATTGCATCACATTAAAATCACTATTCCAATCTACTATTCCAAATAAGAAATACACTAAAATAAAGAGGATGTATAGTCCTTCTTGGTGAGAATACAGATATAAGGACTGAATGAGTTTAGCATATGTAGCGAGATAAGAAACCAATATCCCTTTTGAGTCCCGGGGGGCGGGCGGGGTCCGAGTAACCTGTAATTCAGCAATCTTCCTTTCCATTCTGTTCCTGAAGTTTCTTTGCAATAAAACCGCTACTTTGAGGTCACCTATGGAACGTCCTGGAAGGTTGAAGTGTTCTACAGGTTTCTCAGTCTTGAGAAAACTATCAAAGAAAGAAGTCATAGAAGCATAGAGTTGGAAGGGACCTCCAGGGTCATCTGGCCCAACCTCCTGCACAGTGCAGGAAACTGCTTTCGATAATGACAGGACTGAAATTACTGAAAAGGGAGACAAATCCTGTCACGTACTAATCGGCTTCTGATTCTTCCTTGGAGGGTAGTTCCATCAGAGGCAAGGGGACTCAGTTGGAACCTCCATTTTAGCGAAGGTAACTCTCTGAAGGCTCGTTGCCAGCAGGGCAATCCCAAGGGGAGGCTTTGGCTCCTCCTCTGCTTGTCAAACCTTTCAGGGAATCTACTTTGCCACTCTGGGAAATGGGAGGCTGGACTAGAGGACATCTGGCAAATCTCCTCCTGTATTCAAACAGATCACAGAACAGCTTTTGCTGGACAGACAGGGTGGAGCAGGGTTTTGCACTCAAATTATGGGAACCCAAGGTGAGCTCCCCAATTGTACAGTGCATTGGAGTGGTCTTGGGCCAATCTCTTTCCCAGCCTTTTCCGCATCACAGGGTCATTGTGCGGGTAAATGGAATACCCTCAGAAACCCTGCTTCCACTTCTTAAAAGAGGAACAGGATAACTGGGGAGAATGATCAGAGATCTTCACAACCCAGGTCCATCCCCCTCTTCTGTGAAGCACCACTGCCTGTCGGAAGAGATACTACTGCTTTAGATGGACCACCTGGGGAACCTTCCTTAGCGCTGGTTATGACTTTCAAAGTGCTAAATGGGGCTGAAGTACTTGAGGGTCTGCCTTCTGCCATACTCTTGTCCCCTCAGTTAAGATCCGTCTCCCAAACTCTACTGTCTGTGCCCTTACATGTAATGGTATGTGGGCACAAGAGGTTGGGCACTTTCAGTTGTGGCCCCTTCAAAGCATACCTGGAGCCTACTGTGCTATCTTACAGAGAGTGATTCAGATGTGGAATAAACACCTTTAAATGGGGATTAGATTCTTGGAGAAGAGGTCTATCAGTGGCTACTAGCCATGGTGACTGAGGGGAACCTCTAGATTCAGAGGCACTAAATCTCTGAATCCCAGAGCCATAAGCAGGAACGTATTAGCATAACAGGCCACACCCCACAGCAGAAACATTAGCATATTAGGCCACACCCCTGACAGCACAGCACATTAGCATATTAGGCCGCACCCCCATGTTACCAGAAGTGTCGTCATCCAGCCACACCCACCTTTTGCTTCTTATTCTGTTTACCTTGTTGTCAAAACCCAGAGCTTTTTTTGTAGCAGGGGCTCCTTTGCATGTTAGGCCACACACCCCTAATGTAGCTAATTCTAATGAGTTTCTGCTGCTGGGTGTGGCCTATTATGCTAATGAGTTCCTGCTGGGTGTGGCCAACTCAGGAGCCAGCCGGAACTCCGTTCCTGTGCGTTCCTGCCCAAAAATAGCCCTGAGTCCATAAGGTAACACCAGGGAACTGGTTGGCAACTGTGTGAAACAGAATATTGAACTAGATGAACCATTGGCCTGAAACAGCAGGGCTTGTCTTATGTTCTTATCTTTGAAGGTCCAGGCCAAAACATGGCTTTTCAGCTGGGCTTTAAGTGAGAGTGGATTTTATCTTTTTAAAGGTGTTCTGTAGTCTGCTTCATTAAAAGAGGGGCTGTTGAATAAAGCAGAGTACTGAATAAACATTTCCCCCCCAAACTGAGGTACAAACAAGCCAGCCATTTCGTCCCTGTTTAAGCTTCTCTTTCACATCTGAGAAAACTCTTGCAAAATCATTCCATTCTCTACTAGGTAAAACAATCCCAAAAGAAGTCCTACCCTCTTCCGACACAAAAGGAGGCGGATCTGTTGATCTCTTTCTTCCTTCTGGGTCTTCGAAAAGCTGATCTCCTGCTTCTTCCACGGTGGATATGGAATCAGGATCGAGAAGAAGTTTTTCTTTGAGGGAAAGAAATAGACCTGTGACCACCACACGTCCCAACTCTAAGGAACATGCAGATTTTAAACCAGCCTATAATGGCGAAAAGAAGGAATGCCAAATTTGTAAACTCCAGAAACATGCATGCAATCAGAAACTAAGGTGCTACTGCTCAGACCGGAAGGATCTAGTGGTCCAACATGGAGAAGAAGGGAACTTCTGCACAGTGAAGGGAAGCCTTAGCCCAGACAGACGCAACCAGGATACAGGGTCTTAGCCCCCCTTCAAAGGCACAAAAGATCCAGCATCCCAGTCTGACACCATCTAATGTGGGTCTGACAAAGGGCAGCTGTCTAAGGGCTCCTCTCCTTTTGAAGAGACACTAGAGTCCTACCAGAACAGCAGGAGGAGGAGGAGGAGGACACTGGATTTCTACCCTGCCCTTCACTACCCAGAGGAGTCTCAGAGCAGCTTACAAACTCCTTTCTCTTCCCCTCCCCACAACAAACACCCTGTGAGGTAGGTGGGGCTGAGAGAGCTCTGGCAGAAACTGCTCTTTTTCAAGGACAGCTGTGCCAGAACTACAGCTTGCCCAAGGTCATCCAGCAGGTGCAAGTGGAGGAGTGGGGAATCAAACCCAGTTCTCCCAGATTAGAGTCCACACACTTAACCACTACACCAAACTTTGGTGATGGTTCCCCAAAACACTTACTAACAACCTCTAATTTTTAAAAAAATGTTTTCAATCTGATTACTCTGTCAGTGTAGGCTACTCTTTAATCTGAATCCTCTGTCTATGTAGGTTATTTTTATCTCATCCTTCCTTGAAGGGCCTTCAGAACAGCCCATGAGGAAGCCCAGTTGAAAAACCTCCCTTTTGGCTGTCTGCCCCCTTGGCTTTCCATGGCCATTAATCTGTCCAATCCTCAATGGCCCGTTAGAGGAATGTTTTGGGGTGGGTTTTTTTTTAGTTTACAAACTCTCCTGTTAGCTTAGAAACTAATACTTGGGGAGTTCACTATGCATGCAGAAGTCTCTCCCTTGCCTGCGTGTGGACCTGATCCATTCCAGTCTCCTAATGAGAGTCCCTATGAGAAGAGACCTCTCACAGTCCTTACAAAGAGCCATTTGTCCCTTCAGCACCTGTGAATCAAGGGACTGGGAGCCTTACCCAGAGAAGCCACAACCTGACGATTGTCCTCCATGACTTCCTTGTGAAGGATTCTTTGGTCCGGGTCCAGCAGAGCCCACTCCTCCTCTGTGAAATGAACAGACACCTCCTCAAACGTCACCAGACCCTGAAAAGACACAAAAAAGGAATGCCCTCTCTCCTCACACCAATGTAGCAATTCCTTCCCTTTAAGGTCAATCAAAAAGTTACATGCTGGAGCATTCAGACCATTATGAGGTACCTCCATTTTCTGTTGAGTGAGCAGGACAGCAGTGAAAGGAAAGAGGAAAAATCTCTCAGGCCTAGGGAGGGGTAGGGGGAGGTACCCAGGGGCATGATTCACAGTGCCACATTTACCTGCTCTGGCTTCACAGAAGCTGCTTTGTCACAAAGCGATGGCGAAGAATATATCACCGGTTTCGTGGCACCACCTGTGAAGGAAATAAGGATACCTGAAAGACATTCTGTCCTTTCCGTTTCTGTTCCTTGATGACTGGGGAAAATATATCCTCTGTATATCGGCTCATGGGGATATCTCAGGATGCTGGTTCAGAAACAGAATTCCTTGGACTGATGTGGGATATTTTCAGTTGAGGAGCCAGAGTGGAGGGGGGGGGGGGGCAGAAAAGCAGCCCACCCACACTCAAGGCAGAAACACCCCTTTAGGCCTTACCTGGAAAGGTTGCTCCAGTGTAACCCTCCTGCGTGATCTCCTCCTGCACCTGAAACAGAAGCGGGGACCCCAGAAAGAGGAGACTGATGAGACAAGGAAAAGGAAACAGGCTGGAGAGAGTCTCCAAAAAGCTGGGATACAAAAGACCCTACCATCTTTAACCTCTCTTCACAGGGAAGGTGTTTCATCCCCTTCATCATTTTAGTTGCCCTTTTCTGCACCTTTTCCAATGTTATAGTGTCTTTTCTGAGAAGCAGTGACCAGAACTATACACAGTACTCTAAATGACACCGCACCATTGATTTATACAGGGGCACTACGATACTGGCTGGTTTGCTTTCAATCCCCTTCCTGATAATCCCCAGTGTAGCATTTGCCTTTTTTATTGCAGTTACACACTGAATTGACATCTTCAGTGAGTTACCTTTTGTTGTTGTTCAGTCGCACAGTCGAGTCCGACTCTTCGCGACCCCATGGACCAGATCATGCCAGGCCTTCCAGTCTTCTGCCGTCCTCCGAAGTTTGCTCAACTTCATGTTCGTTGCATCTATGACACTGTCTAACCGTCTCATCCTTTGCCATCCCCGTCTTCTTTGACCTTCAATCTGAGTTACCTACCACGACTCTAAAACCTCTCTCTTGATCAGTTACTGCAGGTTTGGATCCCATCCACCTGTATTTATAGTTAGGATTTTTGGTTCCAATGAGCATTACTTTGCACTTGCCCACACTGAACCCCATTTGCCACGTTGACACCCACCCACCCAGGCTTGAGAGATCCCTCTGGAGTGCCTCACAGTCCTCCCTGGTTTGCACCACCCTGAATAACTACTGCCAAGACAGGTCTCCCCCATCCTACAATTATGCATTTAATTTTCTCTACCTAAATGCAGAACTTTACATTTATCCCCACTGAAATTCATTGTATTTGTTTTAGCCCAGTTTTCCAGCCTGTCAAGACCATCGTGTATCCTGACACTGTCTTCTACCGTATTTGCTACCCCTCCCAATTTAGTATCATCTGCAAATTTAATAAGCATTCCCTCTATCCCTTCATCCAAATCATTTATAAAGATGCTGAACAAAACAGGCCCCAGGACATATCCCTGAGGCACTCCACTTGTCACTCCTTTCCAAGAGGATGAGGAACCATTCACAAGCACTCTTTGGGTGTGATCTGTCAACCAGTTACAGAACCACCTAACAGTCATAGGATCCAAACCACATTTTACCAATTTGCCAACAAGACTATTATGTGGAACCTTATCAAAAGCCCTACTGAAATCAAGATAAACTATGTCTACAGCATTCCCCTGGTCCGGCAAGGTAGTAACAACTGGGTCACCCTTGTCCACCCCAAAAAGAAACCTAAAACGTTAGTGAGACAAGATGCACATGTATTTCAAGGACATATCCACCTTGGCCATATCCTGTGACCCCCCCCCCCCTCACCTGCAGGTCCTGGTTCCTGTCCTCTGCCTGGCTGAGGAGGAAGCCTTCTGCCAGGGCCACCGCCTGGGAACTGGTCTCCGGCCCGCACTCCCTCACCCAGCTCTCCATCTCCGGGGGCAGGACGGCCAGGAACTGCTCCAGGACCACCAGGTCCAGCATCTCCCTCTTGCTGCGCCTCTCCGGCTTCGGCCACTGGCGGCAAAGACGGTGGAGTCGGCTGCAGACCTCCCGGGGCCCCTCCGCCTCCTGGTAGCCGAACTGCCGGAACAGCTGGCGCTGCACATCTGGAGGGAGGGCGCTGTCCCCCAGGCTCTTCTGCAGGGCTCCTTCCCACAGCTCCCTTCTGCTCCCAGCCTCCAAGATATCAGGGCCTCTCCTGGCTTTTGCATCTGCTGGGTCCGGCTCTCCGCTCATCCCCCCCCCCTTCCTCTTCCAAAGAGTCTCCACCTGGACAAAGGGATCACCTTCCTCCTCTCTCAGATCCCTCTATGAAGTCAAGGGCCAACTCTGCCCATGTGCAGAGGGCAGCCGGGTTGGTCTGCAGCAGAGCCCCGAGAGAGCAGCCAGAGTCGCAGATGGAGGCTCTCCAGAGCCAAAGGAAACCTTGCAAAGGAAACCATATGTTACGACCTATGGATCATTTGCCTCCGCCGGCTGCCACGCCGGTGACGTCACTGGGCCGCTTCAAGGTAACGTTTTCCCAACGGAATGAATCCCAGCGGGGCGGGGCCGTGGCGAGTCACGTGGGCTTCCTCCTCTGAAGCCCCTCTAGGAAGGGGGACTTCTTTCCTTTAACCCTTCGAGAGAAACTCGCCTTGCAAGCCTCCCTCCAAAGGCCAGGACTGGGGAGCGACGGGAGACCGTGGGAAAGCGAAGGGAAATTTCCACCCACGCGGCCTCACCTGCTTTTTTTATTGTTGCCAACCTCCAGGCAGAGCCTAGAGATCTCCCGGGATTACAACTGATTTCCAGACCGCAGAGATCTATTCCCCCGGAGAAAGAGACTCCTTTGGAGGGCGGACCCTGTAGCATTAGAAGCCCCTGCCGTCTCTCCCAGCCTCCTCTTCCAAATCTGCAGGGATTTAATCACTCAGAATTGACGAGCCTGATTTCTTGCTTCGAAGGGCTGATCCGGAGGTCTTTTCTATAGAATGCCCTTGAGGCTATGGAGAAGCTTCTGGCTGGGCTCACTGGCTTAAGCCACCTCGAGCGTTTCCTATGCCTCGGATCTGGCTTAAATTGGTTTGGGGACTCAACTGGGTTTAGCTGTTATGTTTTTTGTCGCTTCTTTGGTTTTATTTTTTTCAGTTCTGAACTCCCTTGGGCTGCTCTCTCTGGAGGGGAGGCAGATCAGTTCTCTAAACAAAGCAATACAGAATTTCCTAATTCGTGGGGATATCGGAATATGCAGACAGGTGGCTGGCAGATATCCTGAGATTCTCAGCCTTGGAAGAAACAGAAGAATGATGCTCCCAGAAGGAACCCTGGGGGGAGCAGGCTGAAATCAGGGACAGACAGGGGTCATTTCCTGCAGGAGCGCACAGGAGCAGAGCTCGGCAGTAAGGAGCCCAGGGGGCGGCCACATGCAACAAGCCCCACCCCTTGCTCCCAGCAGGCCTCAGTCAGAGCAAGAAGCAGCCAGGTAAGCTGCAGAGCACCCCCCCCTCCCCCAGCCCAAAACAGTCCAGTGGCACCTTTAAGACCAAGTTTTAATCAGGTACAAGCTCTCCCTCCTCTGCGAGGACAGATCTGCAGATCCCCCCCCCCCCAATAGCCATCAATCACAAACCATC